GTATCTGCTTTTATAGAACTTAAGGAAAATTTTCATGTCTTTCAAAATTTAAATGAGAATTCACTGAATCTTGTATCCTGTTTCACTTGTTTGAAGCAGGAAACGTTATTTTGTCAGCAAACAGAATCTCCTTTTTAGAAGGCTAGGAGTCATGGCTTGCACCTGTCACCCTAGTATGATACACAAACACACACACACACACACACACACACACACACACACATATATATGTATATATACATAGAAAGAGAGAGAGTGTGTGTTCCAGCCTAGCTAGAACTATATAACAATTTCCTGTTTCCAAAAAACCAAACATTAAAATAAATCTCTTTAGGTCATTATATGAATAACTGTGAACATTTATTTTAAAATGCTCTTCAGACCTGCTGGTGTGTGTGTGTGTGTGTGTGTGTGTGTGGTGTGGTGTGTGTGGTGGGGTGTGGTGAGGGGTGTGTGTGGAGTGTGAGTGTATGGTTTCCTTTTAAAAACCAACAGAAGGTTCATGAAAATGCTTCTGAAATACTATTTGCAAAAATGTTGATCAGGCTGGAAGACTGATTCTTGGCAGACTTTGGATGCTTACTGCAATTATATAATAACGATGGTAACAAAGCAATTAACAGATGTAGTGCTGTGATATACAATGTGTGAACTTTATAAACACATCATAAAAATGTTGCCATGGAGTTGTGTGGCTTTCTTTATTAGCCTGACTTCTTAAAATTCTTCATATTTCAGTATTGGAATGTTTCAGAGCAGAGCTAGGGATAGAGATATACTCAAACAGTATTACCTTTGAGCTCCATGGAAAGGAAATCGGATACAGATGAGCTTCCTCAATAGTTGCTTGCATGAACAGTGGGATGAAACATTATAATGTCCTTGGCTTCTGCTTTTGCTTAATTACTAAGGCAGATGAAAGCTTTTCTTTTCCTTGAAAACCAGGTTTTGATAAATTAGCCATCCAGTGACTGTTTTACTCTGTATGTTCCTCCAACAAATATTGTGGTTAATAATTAAACTGAATTGATCCTAAGCATAAAACAGGGATCATCTTATTATGGGCTTTCCAGAAAGGCACATAGGAACTAGCTGATGACTTACCTCCATCATGAGGATATCTGAGGAGTCTTGATGAAGAGATGTGCTATGCCCACCCTCAGTATGACAGTGATGTTTAGTCATCTACAAAGTTCATGCTGTTACTGTTCGTGTGTGTGTGTGTGTGTGTGTGTGTGTGTGTGTGTTGAATGCCATTAGGGAACTGTGGGAACTCTGGCTTCTATGAGTGAGGTATAGAGTTATTGGGGGACGGTGTGAGAGACTTAGAAGTTTGATGTAATCTTATAGAACTATGAGCTGCCTGGTTGAGAATAGATGGGAGGCCAGATAGAAGGGACCAGGTCAGTAAAACAGATGCTTGAACTATCAGGTGTGTCTGACCTGTACCTGTGGGTCATCTGTCACAGGATAATAGCCATGAGTGCAGCCCAACACAAAATTGTAACTCAAAATATGAGTTTTAGTTTGTGATATTTTTGATGACTCAATTGCACAGTTCTCATGCTCAAGAACTGAGCGTGAACTTTGTAGATGACAAGGTCCTATCACAATGTCAAAAGGTTGGACACGCCTGGTACATGGAAGATGGCAGTGACTTGGAGAAAGGTGGTGGAGGTCATGAGAAGCAGCTCTGAGTTCTAAAGGGACAATAAAGAAGAGATGCCAAGGGGTGTGATGGATGTAAAACATAGGGGTTGACCTGGTACTGCTGCAACTGAAGGATGGAGTTTCAAGGATTATTGATGAACTTTCTGAGGAACAAGGGAGGCGGGTACAGGTCAAGTGCTCTTGACTTACACGCTGCTCCTCCTTCCTGGCCCCTGAATCCTTCCGAGCCTGGACTGTCTTTGAAACTACCCTATGACCTGAAGTCTTACCCGAGGCTCTGCTAAGGGCTCTGCTAAGCTTCCCATCCTGCCCTTGTGTCTTTGGAGGATGCTCAGAAGATGTTGGTAAGGCTGATACCTTGTCTGGAAGGTTGTTGAGAAACCCTAGTTGACTGGGATCCAGGTGCAGAAGGGAGGAAAGGTTTGAGCCACCACTCTTCACTCCCCTTCAGTGGTGGTTAATCTTAATACTGATGACAGACACTGTCACGAAGGGAACAGGGATTAGCAGTTTTTATCGTTAGAACATACAATGTATGGTGTTGTAAACACATCGTAAGGATATTGCCAACAGGGGCATGGAGACAGATCACCCCAAATCCAAATTCCTATGGAAGGTCCTCCCTTTATAATTCTCAATGGTTGACTTAGTTCGAACCTCTATTAGCCTGTACTTCATTACTTTAACGAAATACTTGAGGCAGGGTAACTCCATAAAGTCTACTTGGCTTACATTTTTGCATGCTAGAAGTCAAAACATCTGGGCACAGATTCTGATGAGAGCTGTCCTGGCTGTATTGCCTGGCCTTAGGTTGAAGGAGTGAGAGATCCCATCACAAAAAGAAGTCAGGTAGAGACTGCATCTCCACAGACCCTTCCAAGATTGCTCCCTCAACTAATGTAAGGATCTCACACTAGGCTCCACCTTTTAAAGGTCTTACCACCTCCTAAAACCAGTGTTCTGGGGACCAAGCTTCCAATTTCTGAGCTTTTGGGTGACAAGTAGTACCCAAGCCATAGCAGGATCCTATGTCACAACTCTGGGCAATTTACATTGCCCAGAGCTGTGAAGCGCTGGGATTATAGGTGTGTAGCATCGTGTGTAGCTGTTGCTCTCCTTTTTAATTGTCCGGGTAAGCATGTGTGGAATTAGATGGTTTCTTCTTTAGTAATTAGGTTATTTCGTTATTAGATTATTTAGTTATTAGGCTCACTACTTACCAGTGAGCCTTTTGGCCCTGCTGTTTTCTCTGTGGAAAGGTTATCTTTTTCCCTATTGAGTGAACTATGGTTACTTACGTCAAGGTATTTATCAGAGGAATCTAAGTTGCTTAATTTATTGGTACAAATATATTTTAAAAGTCCCTTGTTATGCTTTTAATATTTGTAAAATCCTTAATGATGTCATTGGCCCTTCCTGATTCTGGTAACTTGTGTTGTCTTTTTCCTTTGGCTGCATGTCCTCCCGTACTGCTTCAACCTCTTCATACATTTTTGGTTATACCCTCTTTGTCTCTACAAAGACAATCTATTTTTCTATTGTTCCTTTAAATCAGTAGTATATTTAGAATTATTTTACTTAGTTAAAAAAATATTCAGGGATAGCTGGGCCTGGTGGGGCATACATTTAAATCCCAGCACTCAGGAGACAGAAGCAGGTGACTCTGTGAGTTCAAGGCCAGCCTGGTCTACATAGCAAGTTCCAGGCCAGCCAGGGCTATATAGTGAGACCATATCTTGAAAAAACAAAAAACAAAGAAACAAAACAATAACATCAATAGAACCCCAAATTGGGGGATAATTTAGAATTTTATTCTGTTGAGATCAGAGCATATGCTTTGCATAAATGCTTTTAAGAGCACTGAGACTTGTTTTATGACTCAGAATTTGGTCTAGTTTGATAAATGTTCAGCATGAACTTAAGAAAACAATGCGTATTCCCTTTTTGGAGGGTGAATTATTCTAGAAATGTCAGTTAGGCCATTTGGGTCCACAGAGTTGTCCATGTGTTCTATATCATTACGGATTTTCTATTTACATGTTTTATCAATCATTGAGACGTATTGACATCCCCGACTCTGCTTGTAGATTTTTCCTTTTTCTTTGTGGTCCTCTCTCTTTTAGTTTGTGTATTTTGAAGGTTTTTTAAAAATGAGGCCTATTAAAGCTCAGGATTGATAATGTCTTAGTAACGAGTTAATTAACCCCTTATTGTTAGGAAAGACCTTTCTCTTTTCTCTTTATTATTCTTTGTTCTGAACTTTCTTTGTCTGATATTGATACTAGTCCAGCTTTCTTGTGAGTGATGTTAGTGTGTGCCTTCAGATTGAAAGTGCACATTTGTAGGCAGCATGTGGTTGAATGTAACCTTCTGAACCAGTGTGACAAGTTCTGTATTTTAATTGGGGGAGCTAGGGACATTTGCATTTAGCGTGATTATTGACATGATCAGTATTAAGTCTGTAAACTTTCTATGTGTATGTGTTCTGTCTGTTCTTTGCCTCCTTCCCTCTCCCCTCCCTCCTCCTTCCCCTCCTCACCCTCTCCCCTCCCTCCTCCTTCCCCTCCTCGCCCTCTCCCCTCCCTCCTCCTTCCCCTCCTCACCCTCTCCCCTCCCCTCCTCCTTCTTCTCCTAGCCCTCTCGCCTCCCCTCTTTTCTTGCCTTTTTTATTGTTGAGTAGTTTGACCCCATTCTATTCTTTTTGCGGCTTATTTGCTATGACTTTCATTTTGTTAAATTAGCAATCAGAGGCACCATGAATAGCCCTGAGCCCTGTGCTGCCCAGACAATTACTCTTCCCAGATTTTATTTTATTTTTTCTCCATTCCATGTGTTTGAATGTTGGCTTTAATTTTGCAGTCTTGATGTTAGTATCTTGAGGTTAGGAATCTATAGTCTTTCTCTCCCTAACCACTAATATTTTAGTAAATAGGGATTTTGTCCTCAGATAGTGTTCTGTAGG